AAAAAAAAAAAAGTACTTAAAAAATAAAAGAAAAAGGAGTTAGTCCATTTCTAACAGTTGCCAAAATCCTAACAGTTCCTTGGAAAGCCCAAGTCCAAAGTCTACTCTGAGATTTAAAGCAAATCTTTAGCTGTGAGCTCCTATAAAAACCAAAAAGTTAAACATTTCCAACATACAATGACACAAGGTAAAATTTCCCATTCCACAAGGGAAGAACAAGGAGATAGAAATTGGACTAGAGCAAGATGGAAACGAAGAAGGGCCAACATAAATTCTGTATTTCCACGTCCAGCACCCAGGGCAAGTTGTGGTGGCGACACATGCACTCCAAAGGTTTGCTAGCCCTGCCCCTTCATCACTGCTTGTGGTTGCAGCTCTTAAGACTTCCCTCTTGGGCTGGCTTTGCTCACTCTTTGTGGCTTTGCTCATATGCTCTACATATCTGGCTTCTCCATTTTCCTGGGGTCTTCACTACACTTTGGCTTCACTCACAGCTTCACACACTGCCCTCTCACAGACATACTGCCTGGCCTCTTCTGAAGCCTGAGTAGAAACCTCCCTGGCCCCATAACTCTTGTATGCATTCTGTTTTCCTGTAAAACTAGCACCACATGGATGATGCCAAGGTCTGCCACCACCTCAGGCAGTAGCAGGGCATCTGTCCGCATGACTGAGATGTGATACAAATCCTGCAAACCAATTCGCTGGTGGCCTTCATTGATCATGGCACCCTGGGGTTCTCTTCTCAAAAGAAAGCTTTACAACTTTGCACTCTTGAGCACGCAATGGATTGAGTCTTGCTGATTCTTGGGATGCCCTAAAGTTAACACTTCTATTGTTCTGCTGTAATGTACGTGGGCTTCTCTTTAGCACTAATGTACTCAGCAAACAAGATCTTCTTGGCTAAAACTTTGCAGGCCCTTTGTTTCTGGGGAAACTGAAAACTTTTCAAGTGGGCTTTATGTTCCTGATTTTCAATATAAACTTGGCTAAAAGCAGCAAGCAGTATCCATACTACAGATGGAACATTGGACTGCTTTAAAATTTCCTCTACCAGAATAATTAGTATGCTACCCTTAATCTCAGTCTCCAGCAAAGTCTCAAGAGTAAAGGTAACAACATTCCAGTAACTCTTTCCTCACATGGGTCCTAAAAAGTTAGTCAGCACAATTTGGGCAAACAAGTCAGCCCCTCTGAGTGCACACTGACCTGCTGGGCACAGGGAGCAGTGGCTGATACCTGATGAGGGGCACAATGGCCTTGCTGTTTCCTCATGCTGCCGCCTCAGGCCCCAAACAGCATTTATTAGAGATGAATTTTCCTTCCCCAACCAGCTGCCCCAAGGAACCTGGTTTGTGGAAAGGCACCTGCTCTGACAGCCTCACAATTCCAGAAAGGTGAAATGGAAGCTGGAAAGCAACCTTGCTCACCAAGAGCACCACTCCATCCCTCAAAGGCAATTTCTTTTTTTTTTTTTTTGAGACAGGGTCTCACTATGTATTTCAGACTGCCCTGGAACTCATTCTGTAACCCAGACTGGTCTGGAATGCACAGTGATCCTCCTGCCTCAGCCTCCCAAATGCTGGGATTATAGGTGTGCTCCACCACGCCCGACTAATAAGTTAAACTTTAAATTTTTGTTTTTGTTTTGTAATGCGGATCGAACTTGGACCCTTGTACTTGTGAGGCAGTCGACAGAACCACTGAACCAAAGCCAAATCCCTGGCCCTCACAGGCAATTTCTGAATGAGGGTGGCATCCAATGTGGTGCTGGCCACACTGTGGAGAGGACTACATACCTTTGTTAGCTGCTGCTCAGAGGAAAAGCCCAGACCAAAGACTGTGTTGGCTCTGCTGTCGGCCCACTGCCCAAACTTCTGTGACGTTTTGGTGAAGGTCATATTCGGTGTGATTGTGCTGTTTATGATCACCTGGAAGAAAACAGCCCAGAGAAAAAATGCAAACACTGAGTTGGATATCAACATCAATCCTCATGACATCTCCTACCAGCACAGCCAGCACTCACAGCCCACTTCCTCTGCCTGTCACTATTGGTCCCAAGTCCTTCTTCTGTTGTGTCCCATACTGAGTCACCATGGCTAGGGAAAATTTCAGGCACTTAGCAATCAGTCAGTCTAAAAGAGATAGGAGTAAGTCTCTCCTGAGCAAAGAATACTTTCCAAAATGGCCACTTAGTGCCCCAGAGTTGCCATGCATCAGAACACTTGGCCAGTCACGGCCCCTGACCTCAGAATAGCATCTGACAGCTTCTCCAGTCCCCACAGTTCCATGTTCAGCTCAACTATTTAAAGCCTTGATAAGCAACTGGGGCCCACTGCTTCCCAACAGGAAGAGGCAGGTATTCTAATTAGGATAATTTGTAGCTGGGTGACTTACAAAGAGACGAATCATATGATGTGAGCAGGGTAAGGATCCTACAAGACAGTGATGGCGAACCTTTTAGAGATAAGGGCCCAAACTGTGACCCAAAACTCTTAGTTATTGCAAAGTACCAATGCTGCAATCAAGCCTGAACACTGAAATTTTAGTTTAGAAAAAAACAACTCATACATTAACATCTTTTGTCTTTTGTCCTAAAAGAAAAATAACCCGCATGCCATAGGTTTGCCACCACTGCTATAAGGGTTACTCGCTGTCACCACTCCTTGGTCTTGAAGGAAGATGGGAGCAAGAGGCTCCAGATCCTGAGAGGGGAGGGTCATGTAGAGCAGGCTGCTCTGCAAAGGGAGGTGATGCTCCGCTGAGAGACAGGTAGAACGTGACCCCAGGAGCTTCCCCTCTCTCTCTCTCCAATCCCCATTTTCCACTGCCAAACCCAACCAGAAGCTAGAGGACCTAGGAGTCCACTGATATCATTGCAGCGCAGCTGAAAGGATGATATACAGCATTCATTCGTTCAGCAAACATTTATGAAGCATTTACCATATGGCAGGCACTCTGCTAACCAGAGACAAGGCTTGGAAGCAATCTGTAAAGAGATGTGCCTTAAGGCACCAGGCATGGTGAAGAAAGGCAGACGGGAAAATGGGGTGTGGAAAATACACATCTAAACATGGGCTGGGATAGGGATTTTCTTCTAAGACCTTAAAGGCTGACGGGATTTTGCCTCAAGTTAGGCAAGAATGACAAAGTAGAAGCAAGGCAGGCATATGGAGGCCGTGTGGCTGGAAGCTGGGTCAGAGTGAACCACACGATCCCAGAAAGCCCACTTTGGTTATCTCTCAATTACTCGGATCCTTGAAGGCCAAGCAATGCCTAGAATCATTCATTTCAAATCTTAATGTTGCCTTCACTGCAAACCTCTGTCACTGGGTGAGTCAACCCCCTCTCTCCCGTTTCCACTCCCACCCCCACAACCTCCCTGAAAGACCACAGGGAGATGCTGAGCAAAGCACAGGACACAGTTCTTCAGCCTGCCCCAAACAAGCTGTCCCAGTCAGTGAACCTGGCATGAAAGTGACACTGGTTTTTCTTTAGAACCTAGCAGTTTCTAAGGTACTTTTTCATAAAATCTTTTATTTAGAATTCATTTTTACAGAAAGTAAAACTGAGGCTCAACAAGGTCGAGTGACTTGTTTAAGATTCTAAAACTAGGAAATGTCTAAAAAGGGTATGATGTATACATTAACAAAGAAAAAGTGAATTGATTTAAAAAGCAAAATCTATTCTCCTGCTTAGGGGTTCACTTAGCTCCTGAAATGTGTGAGCTCCTCAACAGTTTTTAGGAAATTCTCAATCATGCTCTCTGTAAACACTGCTTCTGCTCCAATCTCTTGACTTACCTCTCCTTTTAGGGCTCTAGGTACACAAATGCTAGATCTTACGAGGGTGTCCAATACTCTTTATACTCATTAATTATTTCCCCCCTGATTCTTAGCTTTATGTACTTCAATTCTGGTATTTTTTTTAATGATCTGTTTTTCAGTTCAAGAATTTTGGCTATTAATGTAGCCAATCTGCTGCTAAATCTATCCACCGAGTTCTTAATTCCCGATATATTTTTAAATTCTAGAACATCCATGTGATATTTTAAACATTAAATTCTAAGTCCCTAAGGATATTCTTCCTTTCATCTACTTTATACATTCCCCCTCCATGTCCTTGGATATATTAATCATAATTACTTTAAAATCCATGATGCAAAGTCTAACATCTCAATTTGTTTCTATTGCCTAGTTTTTCCTTTCTTGTCTCTAGGCACCGGAACTGTCCTTTTGCATGTCTAGTATATTTTATTGCATACGGTCCACCAAAGAAAGTTTCCCCTTTTCTTTCCTAGGCAAGGAAGGTAGATAAGAGATTCCTACTTCTCTGGGACAGAGCTGGGTCAGGTCTGGCTTTCAGTTCTGGTAATCTCTGTGTTTAGGGTGGGCAGGCCCATTGGGATTTCAACTGAGAGCCTCACAAATCTTTATCTCCTCTGCCCCAAAAGACTGTGGAGATTTGGTATTGGCCTTGAGAAGTTTTGAGCTTAGTTCTACAGCCTTTCAAATCTACCTATTCAAACAACTTAGCAAATCCTGAAGGGGAAACTGGTCAAGAGACTGGATCTACTCCATTCTCCCACTTTGTCCCTCAAGCTACACCAAAATCTCTGCTGGCTTCTGTCAGCCCACAGCAGCCTCTCCTGGGGACCAAGCCTGGATGTCAGGACTCCAACTGCTCTGAGAATGAGTCAGGAAAAGGGGCAAGCAAGTTTGAGCATCAATTTCCCACCATCCCTGAGGCTTTTGTGCCTTTATTATTTTTGTGTTCAGCTCCTGTGACAGGGGTTTGCTTTCTCAGCACTATAAATGCAGAGATTTGTACTCTGCCTCTCAGAAATGTGTAATCTGATTCTTTACATTGTGCCACCAACGTGGAATTCAGCAAGTGTCTTGAGGGGAAAGTCAGCCATGAGTTTGAAACAGCTCTAGTCTCCAACTTGCCATTTTAGCCCTGTGATGCTGTTAAATGTGTTGGTGATGGCTCTTTCCCCAGCAGCATCTCTCTACTGGAGCCAGCCTTTAGTATGCACCCAGAATTGGCAGATGGTCTCCAGACAGCCCTGCCAATTCACCTCTGAGCGCTCCTCTCTTTCTGGACTTTTAGCCTCTCTAGTTTTCATCATTTCTATAGCTGATACCTTTAAATCACATTTGTCCCCTTTCTCTTACTTGTCAGAGGAAAGACTGGCCTGCTAGAATCTATATACCTTACTTGGAAGCAAAGTTCTAAATCTGTAGAAGTTGAAAGATGCAATTTACTATGTGCCCCAAGTAACATGTCTTTGTGTTTATGGGAAATATGAAATCTGTCCTAAGATTGTTACTTCAATTAAGCAGCATGCTCAGATATGCTAATCTAGCTAACTGGTACCCCTCAAGCTGCAGCTACCCTCCCAGCCTCTTCCATCTCCCAGGGCTCACTCTGAGCAATGATTCCAGTCTTCTAATTACCTGCCTATCTCCTTCCTCCTCCTACGGCAGGGGTGGGGGGACTGGGAGCACAAATTATAGCTATCAGACCACAGCCCAACAACTTATACCCACCAAGCTCACACTTGCCCAAACTCTTGGTATGTCTGACATTTTGCATTTAGTGAGATTGCAGTGGTAATAACGATAATGCACTTTCCTCATTAATAGTAAAACTGATCTTATAACTTATGTCCCATCAAATTCATTCTACCTGATTCTCTCTAATCTCCCAAGAGAGGGTTCATTCATTGAGCCCAACCTATGCTTTCTACGGTCCTCTGGGTCCCATGACTTTGTCCCCAACCCTAGGATATTCCTCCTATGCACACAACTGCACTGTGCACTCAATGCTGCAGGCCTGGAGTAGACAAAGGGCCTGTACACTTCGGGGATACAATATGCTGGCCTTGCAGGGACTCATTAGAATTTTGCAGTGGGAGTTTCATTGTCTTGCTCATTCCCTGCTGTCAAGCCTGTGCTGCTGGGGAATTTCTTTGGTCCTGGTTTGGCACAGGTACCACTCCCTGTCACCAGCATCAAGGTACCTAGGCATCTGCCATATACAACTACAGGATCCCACAGCTACAAGTCAGCCAGGAGGGAGAAAGATGGAACCAATCCTCAGTCAGTAATGTGGAAATGGCATCACCATGATTACCATTATATACTCACCAAATTCGACATAGGCATTTCAAGAGTGGTAATGCCCTGAAGGGTGGGTGGAGGTGCGTATAATTAGGGAAAGGGCCCTGGCAGGACTTCTGGGGTACAATGGCCCCCACCTGACGATGGTTCCACTTGAGATTCTTCAGCCTTACCTTGGCGTGAAAGTGATTCACATTCAGTAGAAACTACACTTCAGATTTTGCTTTGTGGTCTTTCCCTAAGCTAGTGATTTGCAGTACGGCCCTCTCTCACAATGCTGGGCAGCAACAGCAGCCAGGCTCCCACTCTGCCACATGATCACTACATGAGTGCTCTACAGTGCCCTCTGGCTGAGTGGACCTTCAGCATGTTTCGTCTTTGCACATTTGGTGTATTCAAGGCATCGATGAATCATGATATCTTCAACTCATGAAGGGTTTACCAGGTTGTAGCTACATTGTTAAGTCCAGGAGCTTCTGTAGTGGCAAAGGACATACTTCTTTATGTGAGTATGGGGCACATGAGGGTTCATTTTCCTACTAGACATTAAACAGTACATACAGACAGTTTAAAACAAAGTTCACAAACCTATAACACAGTTCTCAGGGAGGCTAATCTTCAGGGTGAGCAGCAGTTTGTGAAAAGAGCTGGCAGTGCCCTTGCTGTACACAGAGACATTGGAAAATCACTGCACAGAGGAAGGGGCTGGGCATGCAGGTTCCAGTCTCACAGGAGAAGTGAGGCTCAAGGAGACTGTGGGTGAGCAGGGAAGGGTCATGAGTGGAGGACATCATGCAGGGGAAAGCTGACTTCAGGCAAGAGAAGCAGGTGAAAGAGCACAGAGGCTGGGATGAGCTAGGAGGGATGGAGGGAGAATAGAGTCTGGGAGCCAAGGGCTTGAGTGGAAGCTGAGGACACAGGTGAGTGCTAATTCCGAAGGTGACTCAGCTGATGGGAACCGTCCCTCTTGGGAAGGGTCAAGAAAAGTCTGGGAAGACACTGAAGCCCGGGGAGGGGGGCATCCTGGCACAGGTGTTAATATGGGCTCCCAATTCCTACATACAACATCCTTTCTTGTGAAACCTCTATAGGGAAAGAAGATGCCCTGGTAAAAGACCCAGCAGATTTCTGGAACCAAGTTTTCATAGAATGTTTTACAAAACACCTGTCACCAGGAGATATGTGGAAGACGCAAAAAGCGAAGGTCCCCCAATCTCTGGTCATACCTCAACTGGGCTTGGGCAGAAGCTGCTCAAGAAAGAGGAAGACAGATAGGGGATTCCTCTTCGTGGAGGGCTTTCTGCAGCCCAGGAAGTTAGAAATGGGAGAGTTTAGAAGTTTTTCACACAGGGTAGGACTGGGTTATAGCAATTAAAAGACTGCTGCCTGATTCCACGGTAGTCATTAATAGATTGTTTTTTAGTCACGGAGAGTGAAAAAACCCGACATTCATGGAAAACTTACTGTGAGGTGGGAACCATCCACATGCTCACTCCCTTAACATCAGGTGCTGTACATTCATTCAAAATAAGAATACAGAGATTTCTTTAACTGAAATACCGAATAGTTTCTTTGGTGTGAAAAACTGTAATAGTACACAGGATCCTAATGAGACAATTAATAATGTGAAATAGGAAGTAAAGGGCTAAAGGTGTAAGGAAAGTGGGAAGGGTGGGGGAGAGGTAATAAGGGAGAGGAAAAAAATATGGGAAAGTGAAAAAATGGAAATAAAGTGTTTGTAAATGGGGAGGGGAGGAGGGGGTGGAGGGAGGACAGGGACAAGGGGAAAAATGAGAATCAAGACCTATTATGTAAAGGTACAGAATCCCAATGATGAATGTAACTGTATTGTATACCTAGATTGTACCAATAACCTCAATAAAAAGAAAAAAAATTAAGAAACCACAAAGATGGGTGGAAGAGGTGACCATGAACATATTCTGCATTCTCAGAAGTAAATATCAAATAAGCCAGGGTTTGGGATGCTTACAGATTCCAACCCGTCATGATTAGGCAGAACTGCAACCCAGTGGGCACTGCTAAATGTCTGCAGAACGGACAACCTCTGAGGTCTCTTCCAATAGAGGTTTTCTGTGATTCTATAAATAAGTGCAAATCAAGGGCAGCAAAGTCATCCAGAGCACCTGGGAGAAGCACCTGCTTCAGGTAAGTCTTGTCCACAGGCACAGGCGGTTTATCATAAGGATGGCAGCGCTTAACTTGCACTATAAAGCATGCCAACAGCACAATGAAATCAAATGCTGCAATGACTCAATTAACAAATGCTCTGGAAACGGAATTTCCTTATTACGGAGTTGGTCGTTCTGCCTAAAAGCTTCCCATTAACCACACGGCTGTTGGTATGTGCTGCCTGGACCCTATGGCCAACCCTAGTTTGTTCTAAGGTTTCAGTCCTTAGTTTCCCCTTGGCAGGAGCAGGTAAGGGAGTGCAGAGGCTGGAACAGAGACAGAAGAGAGGGAGAAGGGAGTATGGGGAGCCAGGGACTTGAGGGGAGAATAAGGAGAGTGACCTGCCCTGCCCACTGTTCCCATTATACATGCACACCTGGTGCAGGCTCGGAGGGGACGTGGCCAGGCCGGACTTCATCACCTGTTCACCCCCATTCCTATCCACGGTATTGCTCACTTTGGGTTGGTGCTGAGGCTCCAACGATGAGCCTCAAAAGAGCTCACAGTCTGCTGACAGGACACCCCTGCCAGAGCCTGAGTCAATAATCCCCAGAACTGGGTGATGCTGAGCACTTCTCATGTCTTTAGGCAGGAGCTGGAACTGACACATCCAATGCTGTCCTGAAAACATGAGATCTTCAGTACTTCAAAGAACAGGTCTGAGTACAGAGTCTTCTATGATGAGCAGCACCAACTACTTATGGCAGTAAGGGAGGCCTTTACGGGTCTCTCCCTGAGTAAGCATGACAAATTCTCGGATGGGGAAGAGGAGCTCACTCACTGTGCCTGATGTGGAATGACAGCTGCTAAAGCTGCTGGCTTCGACTTCTCCCTCCTGGGAGCCTGTGCTCTTCCAGCTGCCCTCAGTTTGCACAGTGGCTGGGTCTGGTGCGACCTCCAGATGCTTCTGTATCAGCAACTTGTTCTCAAAGCCCATCAACTCCATTTGGAAGGGGCACAGAGGCTTCCTCTTCCAGGCAGCTGGTCCAGAAGTGCCAGGAGCAGCTCATGGTCAAGGATCAATGCAGTTAGGCCAACAGTTCTGCTCAGAGTCATACACACATACTCTATGGGCTAAGACGTGGTCTCAGAGGTTAAACTGTCATCTCAGTTTGGATCAACATTTGAGATCAAAGGCCTAAAAAAGTAGTGTTGTCTGAACACGGTGCCACATGATGACGGGGAACCATACTCCTCCAGCCCGGAGGCATCCACACCCACGGGGTCAGCCTCTAACAGCATTCTCTAGGCACCTGACTGAGACCTACGACATGTGGCTGGGCAGGCAGTGGGGACCTAGGTCTGGGGTGGGGTTGGGGGCAGTGAAAATGGAACCAAAACAGACACTCAGGAATAAGGACAGAAGAATCACACTGACTGAACAGAAATACAGAGATGGGGTGGGGTGGGCGAAGACAAAAGAGCCTTGGGGAAGACACGGAGGTCAGTGCTGAAAGCAGAATTTAGTGCCATAGGCTCCTATTCCAGTCTGTAGGAAGGAGGGTGCTCCATCCAGAGGACCCTCACACTGGGCGAGCAGAGGGCAAGCTGCAGGGTGCCAGGCCACAGTGACAGCTGCTAGCACATGGGAGTCTTCTCCACACCCACTGTGTGTTGCAGGACAGCTGGAGGCATGGGAACTGGTCTCGGTCTGGGCTGCTGGTTTGACCTGTGCTGCTCACCAGCTCAAAAAGGTCCAGTAGGGCTATGGTGGTGCTAGCATCACACCCAGGACTCTGCATTCCAGTTTCCAGGCAGGAGACTCGCCCCCGTCCCAATCCCCAAGTGCCAGGCCAGAGTATGTAGATGACTAAGCGTACCCCTACCTGGCCACACCCTGGGACCCTCAGCTCCCTTGGAACAAGGCTCCACCCCTGTTCCCTGTTGCCACAGTGGTGATGCTAGAACTCTGGTGGTGGTGGTGGGGGGTGCTCTAGGGACACCAGGTGGCCGAACACCACGGTCGGTAGGTACAGAGATCCTCTGGTTCAGTCTTTCAATTTTATGTCCCATGGTCTAACCTTTCTATACCCCCTTTTTAGGTGACACTAACTTGATGGATCCCACACACACACTGGCCCTGAATCAGCCCTGCTCTGCAGCCATGGCATCGGCCCACCCTCCTACAACCTTCTGATTTTCACAGCCCTCTCCCTTGGCTTGGACTCCACCACACTGTCACAGTCATCAGGAACTGCAGACCCATGAGGATATGGCGGCTGACACTCTGACAAACTACTAAAAGCCTGGCTAACAGGACAAAGGCTCAAGCTCTAAGGAAGTTGTTTTCATCTAGAGTTAAGCCCAATATATCCTTGGATAATTCAACTGACAGAGTGCAAACCCATCTAAGGGTGGCAGATGAACTGACAGACTCTACAGATAAAAGAAAGGTCAGCTCAACTCCCCTTCCCTATCAGAACACCCTGGGAAGAGCCCAGGCAATTAAGGCTCAGAAGCACAGAGAAGAAAAGCAGTAATTATAGCTGTAGCATCACCATGTCTCCCAGAAGTAAAAAATATTAACATTTAAAAATTAAGACACCTTTCAGATAGTCACTCATCAAAAATGAGGCACCTATCTAGTATGTGCCAGGCACTTTTGCTGCCTTGATACTCACCCCCCCAACACATACATTACCCTTGCCTCCCCCTTAGATGGAAAAGCAGGGCTTGAGCCTCTGAAGGTGTTCACCACAGCAGCTGTGGCCATCACCACACGCCATCTATATGACATGTGTCAGGAAATGCTCCTTTACCTTCCAGGGAGTGGCCTGCTCCAGCCCAACAAGCAAGGATGGTGTCCAAGGGACACTGACCAGCACCAGCCTGCCCAGCCCTTCAGCACTGTGAACCTGGCCAGACCCCTGGCTCTCTCCAGACCTCAGCTATGAGATGGGGATTTCTGGGCTCCCTTCCTGAGTGGGAGGAAGGACTGTGGCACTTGGAAGAAAGAAAAAAAGAATCATGGGCCTAAGATGCCTTTATCTATAGTCACCGTGGCGCTGAGATCACAAAGGAGGCACCTGAAGAACAGGGCCTGGGCTGAAAGGAGAATCAGATGTGCCTCATCAGATCAGGAGACACCAGCAGGCTCTTGCCCCTTACCCAGGACAACTTTCAATGGAGGCTTCTCCATGCCTTCCATTTTGTGGAAGAGGGGAAGAGCTGACATCTGGGCCCCCTTCTACTGCCCGGTTCTCAACCTGCCCACTTCCTATTCCCTAGAAGGCCGACTTAGAGCAGAAGTCAGGAGAGACGAGGCAGGAGCTGAGGAGGCCAGCCAGGAAGCTACTGCAAAGTCCAAGGAAGATTGCACCAGGACAGGAGCTAGGGGCTTAAAACATCTGACAGCACATATGTGAGACACTTCAAAGGCAGAGTGGATTGACAAGAAGGAATGACTCCATTTTGTTTCATTTTGTTTCATTTTGTTTTTTTGGCCAAATAACTGGGAGATAAAAACAGAGAGCTGGCTTCGAGGGTAAAAAGGAGATTTTAGCTTCAGGCACACTGAATTTCAAGTGGTAACGTGTAAATGTCCAGCAGAATGAACACAGATGAAAGGCAAAAAGCAGGTTTATTATTTTTAGAAAAAGACTTGGTGGTCCTTCTGCTGTTATCCTTTCTTTTGCTCCCATATAATAAAAGTACCAGGGGAAAAATATTTCAAGAAATATTCCCAGGCCATTTAATAAAATTCGACTCCTGTGTCTAATTAAACTCCAGGACAAGCCTAGATATAATATCCACCGCTGGCAAGGGAGCAGTAAACTGTCATTCTCATACATGCCAGAAGAAAGAACCCTTCTGAAAATAATTGGCAATATGATCCAAGACTGTGTTAGTACTACTTCCAGGAATCTGTTCTGAAGAAATACTCAAAAGCAAGCAATGGGTATAGGTGGACAACTGAGGCCATTTGGTCCACCAAAATGTTCACTATCTATAATAGCAAAAACCTGGAAGCCATTTAAACATCCAATCGTAGGAGAGAAATTAAGAGCATTACAAACCCTTGGTGGAATCATTATGTGGGTATTAAAATGTTAGTTATGAAGACAGTGTGTTAACAGGGAAATCTCTTTTTTTCTCATTTGCCATGATTTCAAATAGGAGGAAAGAGCAGGAAAAGCCAGGTATGGTGGCACACACTATAATCCCAGCACTGGGGATGCTGAGAGGCAGGAGGATCACAAATTTGAGGCCAGCCAGAAAGACTGTCTCCAAACACAAAAAAAGAAAAAAGGAAAAGGAAAAGAAAAAGCAGGATGTGTGATTATAATTATAATTAATCATTATAAGATGGAAGGATTTTGGGGTACAACTTTTTCCCTTCACTTTTTCAAATACATTGTTTTAGATGAAAAGTAAGTGAAACTGTTAAAAGTCAGATTGCAAGATGGTACCTTGGCTCCATCCACACTGATGATCCGGTAGCTGTTCCTTGTGACATCATAGAAGTAGGAAACGGTGACTGCCTGCTTGCTCGCAGGCACCCAGTTCTTCTTGGTGCTGGGATCAATCTGGAAGACATGCGCCCGGGTGGTGAAGATGGGCTGTTCTCTGCAATAAGAGAGATGGGCATGTGAGCTGACAGAACAGGACTTTATGTACAGTTTATGATTTCTAGGCCACCCACTGACCAAAAGATTTTAAATAGCTTATCAGGAAAGATACATACGCATGAGACCAATTAAAATAAGAAAAGGGAAAAGAGGAGAAAAGGAGACACAAGTGTGTAGCTTAGCAGCCCATACTCCATTTAGCTGTCACCACCTGAGGCTGCAGGGCAATGGGCCTAATGAGCAATTTGCCTAAAATGCAACTCCTTTTCTGAGTTTTTACACACCTGTCAAGTGTCCTATTCTCCTGACAACCTGCTAGTATTCTTAGGACTTAGGACTCGATGCATTTTAGGATTTTGCAACAAATTTATTTTGGGAGATTCTGCAACAATTTTGAGGTTTTATAATCCACTTGCAGTTTAATATTATATTTCTATAATCAATGTAGAGATCAGTATGGAGATAAATCAGCATGGAGAGTCCTTAAAAAAAAACAAAGATAGAAATTCTACTTGACCTTCTTCCAGGAATCTTCCTGAAATAGGTGACATCATGATGTTACAGTGGTATGTGCAAACCCATGTTTACAGTAGCACAGCTCCCAACAGCTAACTCATGGAAGTGGCCTATATGCCCGTCAAAGAAAAAGTGGGGTATATACACAAGGGAGTACTACTGACCCATAAAGAATGAAAAATTTGAGTCATTTGTAAGAAAATGGATAGATTTTGAGACTAAGTGAAATTAAATCAGACATAAAGGGTTAAATACCACATGGCTTCTCTGAGACTCAAACTGAAGTAAGTAACATAAAGAGCAAAACAAAAAAGAGATGGTAGGAAACAGGGAGGTAGACTCCGTGGAGATGGGAAGAGGCTCTGGGGAAGGAGTGGGAAAGGGGAGTAAAGATGATCACAGTGTGATATGTAAGTGTACCAATTCCCCAACATGAATGTATTATACATCACAAGCATATACTATTAAAATATTATATTTCTATTAGGTACTTCTCCAGTTTACAGCCCACCCCCCAGCACTGAACTACATCCCCATCTTTTAAAAATTTTATTTAAAAAGATAATGTCTTTTTATCTCACTGAGTTTCCCAGGCTGACCTTGAACTCACCATCTCCTGCCTCATCCTCCTGAATATCTGAGACTACCAGGCTGGCTCGCGGTATGTTTTGAATAATGTAATTATTTCGTATCTTGTGGGTTTCTCATTAGTGTATCTGTCAAACCATTTAAGGACTTCGCAATTTGACCAAGTTGGAAAGTTTTTTTTAATTAATTTTACTGGTACATTTTAGATATGTAAAGTTTTATGTAGACTTATGTAAAATCTTTTGAGTTGTACACAGAATTCACCAAAACCATCTATTTGCTACTGATGCTTCATATTATTGCTGCTGTTTTCATCCCGCACAGCTCTAAACTCTTCCCCTGTTTGCTAACTAAATTAGCACATTATCTATGCTTAGTGGAGAGGGAATTAGATTCTGACAATAGGCATTAATAAACAAGGCAAGTGAATAAAAACTAATGGTTTTCACTGCACTGCCATATTTTAAGGCACCTACTTTACAAAATAATACAGAATGAAGCACAGGCTATTATTTTTTAAAGAAAGGAGTTTATAGGCAAATCATCTCAAAAAACTTTCTGTGTTCAAAATAAGATAAAAATAGAAAAAAGCCACCAGTGTGTAAAAATAACCCTATAATTCATAAAAAGCTATAGATTCAAGGAGTACCTTTTAGATATAGAAAATTAAATCAAAAAGCTTAAATCTGGCTTGGAGAATTTTTTAAATCCGTACAATGTTAGAAGACATGACATGAAAGAATAAGACATTCAAATGGATACCAAAAAATTAAAAAGGAAAAGTGAATTTTAAGTGCTCCGGTCTCTGGTTGGAGTTGTAGGCAAAGCAATCTTTGAACCCATCCCAATTGTGGAAAATTTATTATTGAAAAGAAAGCTTTCAAGGAGAAACTTTTTCCTAAGAAAGCAATTTACCACTTAAGCCTCCTGCCAGGGATACTGCATTGCACCACGGATGTCTGCATGGCTGCAGAGAAATGCAGAAACCTTCCTCAACCATTTCTCTAAGGACAAACTGCTAATGCTACTTTAGTACAGCCATTTCTAGAAGCCAGCATGCCTAAAGGATCGCCAGAGACCAGTATTCCTTTCTCCCTGACACTTCCCTTCTAGGTCCCCTGGAGCAGGGCATGATTCCAGGGATGTGGATTATGAGGACGTTTCTCTCAGGTTCACCCAACCAGTCAGTCCTGAACCAACACTCTGCCAGCAGCTGGGTGGCAGCTGAAGATGCAGATGGCACATTCTCACTGTGATTCCCTGCATCTGTCATCAAGAGAGGCCAGGAGGTGGTGAGAGTGCGCACAACAGTAGGAGCCCACAATCAAGTGGCACGGTACAGTCTGAAGCCCGGACAGCCCAGCTGTGCCACTGTCAACCCAGCCCTGCATTTTCCTAATCATCTAAGTACAGCACCGCCATAAAGAAAAAAAACATTTCCTACATGGTCTTCTTCTGCATATGTAAGAGAATGGAGTGATTTAAAGGGCAGTCATTACAGAAAATTCTCAGAGAACAGAATTATACAAAAATCTATGCCTTGCTATTGCCAACTGAACATAGGTCCCTGGGTCAAAGAGGAGCCCTGGTCAGGGACAGGGCTTAGGTTTTCACAGCTCCTTCTTGTTCCCCTTGATGAGGAAGAGGGCTTGGGTCTGGGTTGTTAACATGCTCGGCCAGTGTTTCCTAAACCTCTGGCAGGAAGTAGCTGGGCAGTCACTGAAAACTTAAGTTCTCCTAGGACCCCTGAGTCTGGCTCTCCAGGGAAGGGCTTGCAGGGTTGGGGCTCAGGAGCACCAGAAGATCTGTGTCCTCAAAGAAGCTGGGGGGACTCATGCATCAGACACTAGAATAATCCAGAAAAATAATCCAAATGGCCCCTTGAGCCAGCATCTCTCCTCCAGGATGACACAGCATGACCCCAGAAAGTTCTCCCAGCACTCTGTGGTGGGGCAGGGGAAAGTGGGACCAAGAACAGGTTCTCTGGATGTAAGGGAAGGAGAAGGGGCAAAGGGTAGGTGTCCTCTAGTCAGGAAGAAGGGCAGAGATGGAGGACAGCTTGTGGTGGCCAAGCAGGAACCATGTACAAGCATTCTCTGTCCTGGAAACCTACAGGAGGGAGGGAGGGAGGAAAACAGTGGAGAGAGATGGAGGGGGAGGAACCAGAACAAAAGAAGATGGCAGAGCTCTCTAACCAGGTACCTGGGAAAGGGGCCTGCTGTCTGGTCAACGTGTGCACACGGACCAGAAGGGTTTCATGTCCCTGCCCATCTTCTCAGCTCTGGGGATGGACTGAAGTCCTCTTGGATTGCTCTCAATACCCCAACCAGAAATGCAAGGGTCGGGGAGGGGAGGCATGGTGGGCCAGCTGAGCACAACCTTGGTCACCACAACCAGGCCCTCTACAGGGGAAGTGCCTGCTCCACACAGACCAGGGATAGGAGCTGCTGGGGGTCACTAGAGCAGGCAGCCATGCTGTCCTGAGGACAAAGACCTTTGTTCTGTAGTCCCAAGTCCTCAGCAAACAGAGGAGGACCCTGCAGTAAGTCTGGCAGTAGCTCCCTGCCCAGGAAACCACCCACAGGACTGGGATTTCACATGAAAAACCAAATCTGAGGGCAGCAGGAGTTTCTAGCTATTCTTTAGATATTTAAAAAGACTAATGCTATTTTAAGAGAAGCTCAAAAATAATAATAATAAAATAAAAGGAAGGATGAAAAGAACAGCCAGCAGCTGACATTTACTGAGTGCTTACCATTCTGTAAGGCTTTACACGTGATCTGTCACTTAGGATCACAACAATCCTTCAGGGAAGGGGCCATACAGATGGGGAGATGGGTTCAGAAAGGCCAGGTAACCAGTTAGTAAAGAGCAGATTTGAGATTTGAAGTCAGCTCTAAGTGACATGGAAAGCTTCTCTCTTCACCATGTTACACTCTCTTCCTAAAATGGGCTTGTTGTATACAACTTCTAATGTGGCTTCCAGTATGATTCTCTCTCCTTGAGTGGGAAACTTACTTTTAATCAACAGGATAGGGCAGAGGTGATAAGCTGTTGTGAGGATGGTAAGGTTACACAGGAGGGTGACTTCTGCATTTCTCACAGGCTCTCAAATGACTTCTTGCTGGCTAAAATGAAGCAAGCTGGGGAGACCCTCAAAGCAGGAAATTGAGAGGGGACTGAAGCCAACGACTGGAGAAGAACTGAGGCCCAACATCCCTGGAGCACCTGAAATTCTGCCAATACCCAGGTGAGCTTGGGAGCAGATCCTGCCACAGCCAAGCCTTCAGAGGAGACTCTGCCCTGGCTAACACCTTACTACAGGCTTATATGAGGCCCTGAAACAGAGGACCCAGCAATGCCATACCTACATTCCCAATCCACAGAAAAGTGGACTGCTTTAAACTGCTATGTTTGTGACAGCTTATTCCACAACTGTGTATAATACATTGTTCTTCACAGAAAGTTTAGGACACACCAAGCAGGATGTATATACCCTCATTTAATCTTCCTAACAGGGTTGTGAGCACGCAGCAACACCCATCCAGACATCTGAGGGTCCAAGGTGCTTTCAGGTAACCTGGATAATAAATCTTGAGTTTGCTAAGAGCAAAATCAGAGTACTTTATAAACTCACCACCAAATTTAGAGAAGCAGACCCCAACTTTAAAAGTATTTTGCGTCACATGAAAAAGTAAAAGAGCTGGAACTAGGACACAGAAGTCAGTTCCTACATGTGTGCAAATCAATATAAATAGAAAGAGTCAAAAGAATCAGAACTTTCCAACCCAGGAGGCTACATTTCCTTCCCAGCAGGGAGAAGCAGAAGTGAGTATCAGAGAAAAGAAACTACCTTCATATCCAATTTTATTCTCCTTTCTTTGGTCTTCAGTGCTCAGGGAGAATATTTAAAATATACTCCCATTCCTTCTGCACTGCTTTAAATAGAAAGCAGATGTTTCCGGATGGCAAAACAGTTCTTTAGGCAGATAATATAACCTACTGTTCTCTTGCATAGTCTTTTTAGAGCTGAATAAAACACCAATTGCTGTTCATTGAACACATTTTGGAACCTGACAGTAATTGTCCCCAAGAATAATTAGACACTCTGTGCAACTTATGTATGTTTGGAATATGAAAACTACTCGGCAGAGAGACCACTCCTGCTTTGAATGATTTCTGGCTCCATGTGAAGTGATTCTGCAAGGAGCTGGCATGAGAATTTTTTGCATTAAAAAAAAAAAAAAGAAAGAAAGAAAAATGTTGTTTTAAGCTTGTCATGATCCTTCACTTGCAATGCTCACCACCAGGCTTTTTTCTCTGATGTAAACTGATAAAACCTTATGATTCTTATTTTTCGTACTTCTGCTTGATCTGAATTACAATACACTATGCAGATATTATTTTACTGCCATTTATACACAATATTTCAAAGTCTCATAAGGGTCACAATTAATCTTGAGTCCCGAGCCTCTTCAAAGTGCATCTACACAGCACCAAGAGAAATGTCTTCCTCAGTCCAGATGGGGAAGCACGGTCCATCCAGCTTCAAAGGCTTCCCAGCTTCTCACCACCTGGCCTCCTTACCACACAGGCTTCCGCTGCTGTGTCTAGAGCTCCTGGATCATCTGTCCGTGGCAATGAACAAGGCTGTAGCTGGGCTTCAAATGTCCTCCCCCTCAGCCAGACAGAGAATTTCTACTCTCATGCCTGCCACTGTTTTGGTTTTGTGGAGCTACGGTTGAACCCAGGGCCTGGTGCATGCTGGGCAAGCGTTCCATCACTGAGCTACACTGCCAGCACTCTAGGAACACAAGCCCTCACTGAGCACCACCACAAGGAACCGGAACCATGGGCTTCCTTGGCCCCAGGCCAGCAGGGCCATATCCCCAGAGCCTACATAGAGAATTTGGGGAAAAGGAAATCTTGACATTCTCCCATGACAAGGAAGTTTCTTTTCATGTTCTCTCCTCATTCATAAGTATTTTGGGGTTCTATTACATATAAAATCGATATAATAAGGCTGTTGACGTTTGCAGATCTGATTACCTATATAGAACACCTAAAAATCAACTGAAAAAGTGAAAATCAATAAAATTCAGTAAGATAAGGTAGCTAGGTATAAAATTATTAATTTCTTTTTTTTTTTGCCCAGGGTTTTAGCATTTATTTTATTTTTTTTTCCTCATTGAATTTATTGGTACATTTTAGGTATACAGTACAGTTACATTCATTATTGGGATCTTGTACCTTTACATTCAAGTAGGTATGGTGGTACACACCTGTAATCCCAGCACTCACAGAGGCTGAGGCAGGAGAATTAATAATTCAAGCCCAGCCTGCGCAACTAAGTGACTTAGCAAGACTGTGTTTCAAAATTTAAATTTTTAAAAAGGCCTGGGGATGTCACTCAATGCAAAGATCCTCGGTTTAATCCCCAGTGCCACTAAATAAATAGCCTCCCTATATATAAACAACTAGGTAGAAATTTTAATAAATTTGTTAAAATATCATTTATAGTAGTAATGAAAAATTTCTAGGAATCTAGTGAAGAAATATGTTAAGATCTATACTAAAAATAAAAGCTTCCAAAGGCACACAAAAGAAAGCTTTAATAAGATACCCCTTATTCTTAAATGAGAAAGTCAAAATAAAGATGACAATTACTCTTAAATTAATATAGAAATTCAACACAGTAAAAATATCAGAAGGATTATATTTAGACTAGATAGGGTTATTTATAAAGAAAACTCAGTATATGAGCACAGCCAAGAAAATTCTGAGAAGAACAGTAAGGAGATTTAGCTATAACAGATCTTGAAATGCATTGTTAAAAACTTAATAGCAGGGCTGGGGATTTAGCTCAGTGGTTCCACCACCTGCCTCGCAAGCACAAGGTCCTGAGTTTGATCTCTAGTACAAAAAAAAAAAAGTTAATAGCAAAGAAAGCAAGAGAAATATTAGCAAATAAGTAAACACATTAATAGAACAGAACAAAGTCCAGAAACAGAAGCCCAAGGTATGAGGTAGACACAGGCAATACTGCCTGTCAGTGGGGACACAAGAAATTATTCCACAAATCCTGCCACAACAATGAGCAGCCACATGGCAAACCTGTACCTGCGGGACTTCAGGCCAAAGCCTGTCTCCTTGAGGGTATGGACACCTTTAAGGGGACTACAGCTGCTGTATTCTACTAACGCTACTTCCACCTGCCCTCAAACTGCCCAACTAACCTTATAAATTAGTGATCTCACAGAAGAAATACTTGTCACAAATCCTCCTGGTCCACTAACCAGGGCTTCCTCTTTTGGGTCATATTTATGCTAGGAAATGCCCCTGATGAATGGTAATAGGCTTCATTAATGACGCTCCTTCTTCCCTAGAGTGCCTGACAACTTTTAAACAGTCTTTGACACACCCTGTCCTTCTGGTCCTCTGGTGAGGTAGGTTGGTCCCTGGGCTGAGGGCCAGCCGAGAGGCACCCCAGATCCATTCTCATGTGCTCTCCAAAAGGGTCTGACTCTGAAATGGGTGGGTGGGTCCAGAGCAATGGGTAAGGATTTGTTCAGTCATCAGGGAAAGGCAAGGCTGCAGAAGCCAAACCAGGGTGGAAGGAAAAATACGTGCAAGGGTGGTAGTGAGGGTGCTGGGAGGATTCAGAGTAGGCAGAGTGATTATGGGGGAGGAGGGAAAGGTGGGTCTTGATCAGGGACAGGAGAGGAAATAAAACACAACTCACCACCAAGTCTGCAATGTCATTCCCTGTTCAAATGGCACCCCTCAAACTCTGCACAGAAACCCCTCTTACTCGTCCACATAGACTAGGTATGAGTGAAAACTACAGTGAATGTTTAAATTTCTAAAAAATTATCACAGTAAATGACACACGGCCATCAAGTCCCTTCAAAATACTCTCCTTCTCTTCAAACACACTTATTCCAAGGGCTGGGGATTTAACTCAGTGGTTCTGCTGCCTACCTCTCAAGTGCAATGTCCCAAGTTCGATCCCCAATACCAAAACAACAACAACAGCAACAAACTAAACAAAACAAAACAAAAAACACACATTTATCCCATCATTTCTACCACCCTTTGAAGCAGTTCTAGAAATCCTCCTTAAGTGTCCGTAGTTGTGCTGTTGTGGCTGCCTTGATGTCCTCAATCAGTTCAAAACATTTACCTTTCACAGTCATTTGACTTTGGGAAGATCCAGAAGTCACACAGTGCTAGACCCAGTGAGTACGGTAGATGAGGACACAGCATCACCCTGCTTCTCCGTTGGATGGCACTTGGCAGCAGCACTCACCTTACTTTTGACCATGCCTAGTAAAGACACTAACAAAAGCAGACTTCTAGAACTGCTTCAGTAAGTAGCAAGGATGATGGAATAAACATGTTCAAAGTGAGGGAGAGTACCTTGACGAGGATTGGTGTAGTGTGTCTTTTACCGTAATGTTAAGCATTCGCCATATAATTTCTATCACACCACGTGCATACCTCTCTCTACCCCAGCTCAAAGCCCAGCAAGTCTGCTAGGTTTAGTGACGAGAGTGGAAACAGCTGCACAGGCACAAGAGCTGCTCTCAGAGACCAGCAAGCACACTGTATGACTACAGGAAGGGGTGGCAGGAGACGAGATTCAAAAGTGGTCATGCTGGACAGCCAAGGGCCAGGGAAATTAGTCTTTATCTTTAGCCAGCATCTCCCTACTGTGCTTTGTGGAAAATTTACATCAAAGCTATTTTCCCTTCCAAATACATTCCAGAAAAAAATACATGCAGTTAACTGCATTTACATCATTGTTTTCATAATTATGCAATTTTACCTTTTGGAAGGGTTTCTCCACCCAAGTTTGCCAGGAAATACCATGGGATCTGCACGCTATGCACATACCTGTCACATGAACCATAAACAGGTGTGTGGCCTACAGTCACAAACCACTCAGTGCAGGGAAGGACACATTCCACTCACAGTGCGTGGTCTATGTACCCTGTATTGGGATTTCAATACATATTCATGATTTTATTCTGCAGGAGGCATATTAAACATTTATAATATAAAAACCCATTCTACTTGAGTCCACAGTGGACAGAATACATGTTAAATAAAAAAGCAAAGTTTTATAATTTACCTGATGTGAAGCCCACAAGCCAAAAGTTGGAAAACAGCCAAGAAATCATTTTGTAAAAACCAAGTGGCAAGCTGCCAGAGTCACAGCTATTAATGATTTCTGGGACAGCCTAATTCAAGAGAGGACATAATCTTGCCAGAGGAACACTTTGTGTTCTTCCTTTTGCTATAACACATCTGTGCACAGGGATTTTTCACATTATACTGCAATAAAACAAAATACAGAAGGCTTAATACCTTACGATAGCATGCTGAGTCAGCAACATTGTTCCTAATGTTAATCAAATATGATTTTTTTAAAAAATACCAGGAAAATAATGTTCTTGATTTTAAATGTTGAGGGCTTTTCTATTCATCTACAATAAAAATGAAATTAGATACTTGACTGTTATGTACTTTGTTCTTGAAAAACTAAAATTAATTTTCTTTGATATTTTATTCTGTTACAGTTAAAAATATTTACATATTTGTGAACAATCTTGCTGCAATTAATTTACCTGTGAGATTGTACCTTGCTACCCACTTTTTACCTAGGAGTATGTTAAAATCGTATGATCTATTGCTCTTCCATTAATATATTAAAATGGGTAAATTGTTTAATAGTCAATGAATTTAGGAAATAGTACTGAGTTTTGTAGGAGTGGTGG